TATTTTGTCAAAGCAGTCATCTGTGAAACGTCATCTATTGAAGTTGCAATAAACTAGACGGGTATATAAGAACAACAAATGGGATAAGTTATGTAACTTCGCCGCCACATTATCCAAAATCTTCCTGTCATCCTCAATTTTGAAGTCAACATAATAATTTCTCCATATCACAGGCGTGTTCCTCACGTCCATCGCATTCGGCCTGGCAGCGAGGAAGGCCGGAGTGGTTGGGAAGCTCTTTTTAGACTTTTGCAGTCCCTCGCTGATGTCGTTCTCAAACTGGTGCAAGTATTTTTGCAGTAAGTTCGGTTTAATAGAAGACTAGGATTTACTGCACATGTAGCCATGAGGATCTTTAGCTATTATGATAATGGAATGATTTCACGCGCAATAACGCGTAACATTCAAGAACATAATCTTATCAGGAGTGTATCCGAATCTCTATAGGTGCACACCCGTCGAAGTTGCTTTCATGATCGCCGCCGCCATTAGGAATGTCAGCGACGTTAAAACAGCCTTTGCAAGCTTGGGCATGTTTTTTTCTTATGGGGACAATGGGTCTCGGCGTCTAATCGTGTATGGGCGGTCAGTCTTCTGAAACTCTTTGGCTTCCTATGCCATATCGGAAGAGTCTAGTTTATCAGCTTTGCAACAACCAGCCCGTAAGCACGCGCAAAGTGTATATCATTAACCCCCATCCTAATATTCATCTTCAGGACCTGAAGCTTAATCTACATACCTTAACCGCAAAACCGTGGTGAGCTAGTGCTCAAAAGACTCAGCATCACCCTCCTTCTCCTCACGTCACTGATGTCAGCAGGACTAAATAATACCTCATGTTGTTTACCAGTTACAAGTCTCCCTGTGCCAATTGATCATTCACAAAATCCTGATCCCAGGAAATAAGCCAAATCACCGAATTCCCGGTTGAGTCAAACAGTTGTGCGCAAAATACAATTACATTGAGGCTGTGGGGTGTAAGTTCTTCTTTTGGGGTTCACAAAAGCTTTCCCCGAATGATTCTGACGACAACGAATTTAAAAGTAGGTAAAGTCCATGTCTGTGTCCAAATCCAATTTCGTTCGTTTGCGCTTCTGCGAAACATGGTCCACTATTGCCACGCCATACATTGAACTTAGAGTTGATAGGCCAGACCTGAAGCGGTCTCTGTTGGAATAAAAAGAAAAAAAGCCTAATTATCGCCGATCGTTTTTAAAATGCACCTGCAATTGTAGCTTTGCTGGACTATTTCCGCTTGGCTGACGGGTCTGCAATAGACCTAGTGAGACTTGCAACACTAATAATAAAAATTCGATTCTAAGTTAGTATGTTAAAAGAAGGAGGAGAAGTAGAAGCATCCAGAGGAAAATCTTTAGTTTGCGTTCTGACGTTTTAAGTAGCAATTTCGACTATCTGTCTTCAGAGCCAATATATTTCTGTGCATAACTCTCATCACTTGGCATATATCGCCTGATATGCAGGTCACCAATTTTGACTGTCGGACTGAGCCTGACCGCTGTGCTCTGTATCGGCCTCATCGTCAATATCCGCGGCGAGAGGTTCCGTCCTTGACTGCTGCTGCATGGGTAAGGTAAAAATAGATTTGCACCTCAGACCACCCCCATTTGCACCTACTCATTTACATAATCCTGGGGAACAGGTTGTATCGGTTTCACGAGTTGGCGCTTATCTAAAAGAATACAGGAGCACTCCCTCGGCATGGCTGAAAAAAGGTGAAATGAAGGGCATAAGCAGTGTCATTTTCGGCTACATTGTTGATTCGGGACCCCAACGAAGCATTCAAGGTCATTTATAAGGTCCAACCAAACTATGCGAAGTCCCTTGGTCAGCGCCTGCTAACAACCGCAGAAGCAACTGCTATGAGGTTGAGGAAGCCGACTTTGTGTGCACAAAAGAACCTCATGCAGCCCCCACGTCTGGCACGACACACTGTCACTTAGCTGCATGCAGTTGTCTGCGCTCTCTTTATCC